GTGGCATTGTTGGAGTCAGGCCCTTTTCCCATCCACGGCCCAGATTGGCAGAAAGTACATATTCATTTCTGCCACAAATGCTGCCTCGGAAGAGCTGTTCGGTACGTCTGCAAGCGTGCGAGACCTTGCCTTAAACCAAAGCTAATGTTAGTGTTTCTTACCCAAATTCTCGCCAGGGAAATTCTGGTTTAATGCAGTTGCTTCGATATGCCCCCCACCTTAACATGTTTAAATCTGTTAGCAACCGTACTAATATTACTGCTTAATTTTGTATTTACACTTAAACTTTAGTCTAGCGTGTTACTTATATTGCTGAAAAAGTTCTAACTGGCAACTTATACTTGTATGATACTAGATCAAAATTTAACTGCAGACACTTTAGTGTTTTATATACAGGCCTTATCCGACACGGAGGACTCGAAACACAACTGGAAATCTCAACTTTTTCATGGCATGATTTAATAACACATATATAAACGTTGAAACTCACATAATGTGATTCGTACTAGGCCTAATTAACAATGTCTCTGCTCATTCACTCCCGTATAAAGAATGCATATCTCTGGGGGTAGGAAACTATTTTTAACCAATATTAAAAGCATGCAAATCTTGAGTCAAGCAACTAATGGGCTCTTCAAAACAGCTAGTTACACTGAGAAGCCGCTCCTGAAGTTCTGAAAAGTTTTGAAAAGTATCGGGAATACATTTTAGTGGGAAAAGTCTCATATTCGCAGGGCCGGATCTTAGTATGATGCATCGCGCACAAAACCGCAGTGCGCGTCCATCATCCCGCATGCAAGCCGGACACTCCGCGGCGCATCTCGTTTTCTTATTTAACATTTGAAAGTATATGTACATACCACGTCTCCCCGACGTCAGACCTAAAATTGGATATTTTGAACTTGGGTTAAAATGTAGTAGTAATTACACAAGTAACCTTATGTAAATTGTAATTCACCTCCCGTTTAATGGTTAAACAGAATATACGGTGGCATTCACAAAACAATCTGGCTCTAACTAAATTATGTTGAAACGTGTTCTTTCATTGCTTCAAAGTTAGTCTTACAAAGTAACTTTTTAAAAATTCTTACTGTAAATGAAAGCCACAAAACATATTACTAGTCATATTACTTAATTTAACTATTAGAAACATTCAGCCCTCAACTGTATCAAAATAACATTTATTCAGTATAATTCTGATAATACATGTAGTATTATTATATCTTTTTTAAATTTCTTTATTATTTAAGCAACATTGCACCTGCTGGCGATTCGGCGGCCGAGATTCAGTTACTTTCCTGTGTGGATTTCAGCAAATATACATTTAGAGGATAAAAGGATAAAATAAAGTACTCTTTCGCATATAAACAACGAGTTAGAGGGGATAATATACTTAGCCTACCTGTGAATTTATTAAGCGGATTCTTCAAAAAACAGCGCTTGCCAAAGTAGCCTAATCATCCAGTTGTGGCGTGTCCCCCCACTGTTTTTCCTTGTGTCAATCCCCGTGTAAAATAATAAAAATAGTCTGTGAACCCCCCGAACAAATAGTGGGAAGTATGAATACAGTGGGGATTCAAGTCCGACAATCTGCACAAAGAAAGAAACATGATAAGGCGCTCGTAGCGTCGGCAATGAAGAAAAAAGTCAATTAAAGCAAAGATCACGTTTTACTTTAAATTTAATAAATCAGACTGCCCAGCAAGGATTCCTTCCACGCATTCACGGAGAAAGTCACATAAAGAGTATCTATCCCTATTTTCCTCCCTCCCAACTACGGGAGTCCCACGAGAAAAAATGCAAAAAATGACAAAGATCTGAAAACTTCGGAAAGCGAGCGGCACGAAACTTTACCAAAACATTTCAAACAAAGAAAATGGTTTAATAAACACTCACCTAAAGTCGGTAAACCTTTTTCCTAAATAAAGCGAAAGTCAAACTTTCGTGTATTTAAACTTCTTAATTTTTTTCAGGTGTCTTTCTCTTTTCTATAAATATTTCCCCCAGTTTGACAGTAAAGGTGGAATGTAAAGTATGAGTTTGGTATGAAATCAACGCCGACGCTGAAAACGAAGAAAAAACGTCGAAGGAGGAGGAGTCACGGTGATGCGTCAATCAATTGAGATGGGGGCGGGTCCTTCCCAGTAAACCCCGCCCATTGAACTATCTGCCAGTTCTTCACATTACACTTAAAAAATTCGCGTCATTTTTTAGCTACATTCGGAAAAGACTAATTCAAATTTATCAACCAACGTGAAATGCAATCGCTAAAGCCTCTAACTGCTGTATTATAAACCCTCCATTTGATTATGGGGACAAAAAAATGTACGAAAAACTAATATTTTTTACGAAACTACTTCCTAGGTGGCATGGTGTCTGTGTATGTATCTGTCTGCGTCTGTGTGGGTGTGTGGAGTTTTCATGTTATCCCTGTTTTGGATGGGCTTCCTCATACACAATCTAAAGCAAGCAGTTAGGATATTTGGCGTTTCTAAATAGTCTGTTTTGTGCGTGTATGTGTCGTGTGAAGGTTTGATGTCCTGTCCAGGGTGTATCCCTGCCTGGTTTTTAATACTGTCTGGGATAGGCTAAGTGACCCTAGCTGGCGTGAGCAGTTGGAAGATGGATAGAAATTATATCCAAGTATCACCTGTTTTTTCATTTGAATCATGTGGACTGTTGTTTATGGGTAAAGCTTGTTTTGTATTAAGTTATTTTTATGCCGAAATAATTGCAAATGCAAGTTTTACCACTTGCAACTGGTAAAACTGAGTGTTTAGAAAATTATCAGTTATTCATTGTGGTAGCTTATCATTACATTAAGGTATTAGAGAGAAGTACTTCAATAACTCATTTTTGTTTTTCTTTTGAGACTCCAAATTCAGAGTGTGTCAGTGAACATTCCAGAAAGCTGAAAGTGCCTCTGCACTTTATGGAGCACATGTTTAGCCTAATGTAGTGATTTTAAAAATCCTTTAAAAAAACACGCATATGCACACTTCGCACATTCCTTTAACTACGCAACGTCTCAAAAAATATATATATATATTTTTGATTAGGCTACTCTGTTTAACTTGGTCATTTTTTAGTAATTAACTAAAATATAAATCCATACATCTGTAGCCTACAGGTATTCCACTTTTAATTAAAATCCAAAAACGTGAAATAAGTCGAACAATAAATTGTCCAAAATACTTATAATGCTCACAGACACATTAAGAAGACAGTGTATTTCCAAATAAGAGGCAGACACGTGGGTACAAGCAGAAATTCACTCACGCACACACAGGGTCATTTAATTTGCACGCGCGCACACACCCGCGCGCAAAGGGACCGGAGCGGCGTGTCTGAGTGTGTGAACGGCTGCCCGAGCAGGTTCATCCAGCGGTGATTAACGCCCGCGGCTCTCACACGCCCTTCACCCAAGTCGCCTTCAGCTGAAACACAGGACAGGTTTTTCTGCCTCTTCTGACTTCTCTCCCTCCCCTCATTATCTGCAGCAACAGAGCCGTAAAGCGACCGCTTGCGAGTTTCTGTGGCTGTCTGTATCAACTTTCACCTTCTCACAAGCTCTCACAAACCACCTCTGGGCAACTAACGAAAGCCCAGAAACTCTCTGCATTATCAGCCTCACTCAACGTCTTTGACTTAAACAAAATACTTCAAATATATAAAGTAAAATGCTATAACTCATTCAGATAAACCTAATTAATGCCCAGCACATCTTTGCTGCAGCTGTGAATTATGTTTGGACTCTTTTTAAACAGCAAACATCTTGGCAGGCATGTGTTAGTAATCCACAAAACTTTTTACAAAAGTCCTCGACAAATCAAGTTATATGCCAGACATCTGTCTAGTTGCCTCCTGCCAGCTGTATCTAAGGAAAAAAACCCATCTGCATGTCAGGTCTCGAACAACACACTGATACTATTTTGAACACACTGAACAATACTTACACTATCCTTCATGAAATGACAACTAAGTTGTCGTTGCTCGGGAAACAGCATTCAGTTCTCGTTCTTGATTTCTTCAATTTTCGGGTTGTAGCTTAATGAAATGAAAAACGACCTCCGTTGCACTTGCGTTTGAGTTTATTTGTTTTGTTTCTGAGCCGTATCTAGCTTTGAACAGGAATTGAGCTCAGATTTAGCTAATGTTACTGAAACGTTGAATCACTGATACTTGCGGTCTCATCATCTGAGAGAGTGCTTATACATTGAAGAACATCTTACATGTTCACATAATTATAGGAGATAAACACCCTGGCCAAAAAGAATGCAGGTCGTGATCAAAGGAAGGCTAAAGGGAGACACGGACAAAGGCATGAGGTAACAAGACAGACGCAAATATGTTGAAATATTCGCAATTGGCTACTACTCTACAAATATTATAAATTCTAGATTTTAAATACAGGCATTTCACTGCACTGGCTGACAAACCATTAATCAAATTCAATGAAGCATAAAAGCGTAAAAGTTAGAATGGGAAAAAATGAACATAAAGTTTTTGAATATTCAGTAAAACACATGCACAATGTATACATATTGTGTAAGGTAGCTTTCTAAATACAATTAAATATTTAGTAGTTTTTAATTATTCACTGGCTGGTGGTTTATACCACATTCTATCAGAAATATATTTATAATGCATTTTCTGTAAAATTAAAATACATTTGTGGGGTTATGTACATGGAAGGGTTAGCTGATTTTTATTGCTAAATGTATGGACCCTTTGTTCATGGATTGAGATCACATTCAGCTTCAGCAATTGGTGGAGAATTTCCCAGAATTCTCTGAGAAGGACTGTCTGTCCATTGTTATCAGAGGCCAGTACCTCATTAGTTACCACAGGAACGGTAAAATGAAATCTGGAAAAGTTAACCTGAGACAAGCCATCTGAAGAGGAGTCAGACTGGGAGCTTTTTCTGCCCTTTACAGTCGGGTGTTGCCTGAAATAAAATGGACAAGGAGGTTCCACAGTTTTGTAATTTCACTGGGTGCTGACAGCAGGCCGTCCCCCCGCTACTCGCAGGCTATCTTGCCGTCGAAGCTGGACAGAGCTATGGCGAAGGCCTGCACTGCACACAGAGGGTAGCTGTAGTCCAGTGTGAATGCATCGTCCGCCACCCGGCCGAACTGCATCAGAATGTAGTCCACTGGGGGTCAGGAGGGAGCAAAACGGTGGTTATATCAAGGCTGTTGGTCAAATCCACACATAAACATGCGCTGCAATTGGTTAAGTGAGAGTACAGCTTTTGGAGACTGCCGCGCCCTGGCACTGCGCTCACCGTCCTTCGTGTGGACGATCTGGAAGTTCTTGATGGAGGCCTGAGTCACCCGGCCAGCGAAGTTGAGCACATGCGACGCCGTCTCATCGTTCCAAACTGGCGTCTTGTTGTGAAGTTCGATCATGTTCTCCAAGTTCCTGTTCTGGTAGCGGGTCAATAGACCGTCGTTCTCCTGCAATATCAGAGAAGGAGAAAGAAAGCAACAGATAAGACATAAAGACAAGGGACTGATCACCTGGGCTGACTGGGTTTTGCACTGTAGCGTAGCGATTTGTAAAATATGGCAGCTATTGCTGATATTAGCAATAATGTTAGAAGTATTTGCAATAACAGTTCATTTCTTGGTAGCTGTTTCATATTAGAACACATTACATCACTCCTCTTTGGAGAGATCTTTCCAAAACTTAAGGAAATGTTAAGGACAGATTCTCTTCATTCTGTATGCATTCCAGAAAACTCCCTATCTAACATGTTTATGTTTACATGCTGCTGATTTGGATTTCAGCAACAAATGAACAGCTTCGCCAGGGCAAACTTGGTCCCAGCTGCCCTTAGATGAATTGTTATCGCGACCCGTCGTAAACAAAGGCACTTGAGCAGGCAGGAATCGGAAATGTCTTTCATACACTTCGAGGTCGAATCGGGACGCGTTCATTGTCTTTGTCCATCCCTGGAATGATCACGGTCATCCTCCGCGGTCCTTTCATTCCCAGGACATTGGTTTCCTGGACGGGGTTAAGATAAACGCAGCGGTTTTAAAGCTGTGTTTTCTAATCAGTTAAACTCACCAAATAAACATGAATGTATAATGTTCAAAATATCTTTTAAAACTAGCTGTGTGTCAAAAGTTCTGGAAACATAGCTAGTGTTTAAATTAATGCTAAAACACTTTCAGAAAGAGAAGCACCAAAATCTATTATTTGATTAAACCATCTTTGCAAAGAAAATGTAATAAATATTCACAAAGTGAAATGTTTAATTAACGTTTAACTTTTGATCGTCTCCTATGATATGTCTCAACAGCGCCCCCTGGTGTAGCCACATACATAAATGATGGCAGCCAGCTCCTGGCGGGCATTGGACATGTCAGGAAGGGCCCGGTCTGGGTGGACCGCATTGTCAAACACAGTGAACTTGGTCCCCATGAGGTTGGACCTGTGGACACAGCATGACAAACATTTTCAATGAGGTAGAGCTTATTCAGCTTGAAGGCATACTGAAGACGGTCTCTCGACCCAACAACCCTCTTTAATCACCAGACTGCATGAGAATTAGTGAGGACGCTAAAGAAATGAAGAAAGGTATGAAGAATGCCCCCCACCCCCACCCCGACTAAATAAATAACAAATAACAAGAAAGTGTTCAACATGATGCAGACAGTACAAGTGATAAATGAACACAGGAGATAAAACAACAAAAGGAAAGAAAACTGCGAAAAGAAGCAAAGTAGCAGGACAACATTCTCTCAAGTTTAAACTAGTTAAGACGTTTAAAGATGGTTACAATTCACTATATGCAATTAAGATTTCATACAGTAATTTAAAAACAATCCCTGTCTCTGTTTATGAGAGTATTCATGGAATGAGTCCCCATAACACAAATTTGTTAATTTTTCTGTGTATTTCAGAAATATACTTAGTACTTTTCAGAGATAAGCAAAGAGACCTTCACAGAAACCTTAGGCAATGTTTCTTGTAGGTTGTTTTAAATCCTCTGCAGGAATATTTTACTGCCTTGAGTTCTTACCAGAACATTCCAGAGACACTTTCCTTGAAACATGAGCTATCTGACACATTTTGTCTCTGGGAAAAGTTCTCTACAAGTTTATACAAGGTCCTGTTTAATACATTATACGGCACCCACATGACATCCTTCAGCAGATGCTCTCCAAATAGCTTGGCTTGTGCATTTGTTTTTCTTTCCAAGGACATAATCATTTACGGTGTGCATGAAGCGGCCACCTACTGATCAGCTGTCGTCTAGTTTTACCTGAGCTTTCCTACGAAGTTCTCTCCTCCTCGTGACAGGTCTGTCGGATCAATGGAGATCAGGTAGTTGGAGGTGGTGCTCCTTTTGCGCTTCCTGCCAGCTAATAAAAATACCTGGGAATGTCAGGTGAAGCTGTCAGCGAGAGACAAGGAGGACCTGCGAACACCAGAAAACCATCTACGCTCAATTAATCTACCATCCGAGGCCCCTCTAGACCTCGTCCAATGAGACTGCAGGTTCATGTACCTGAATGACAAACTAATGCAAGAGTTGCTTTTCAGTCAAGAGCCTTCCGGAAAGTTTTTGTTATGCGAGTACCCTTAGCTTTCCTCCCTCATTTGCACACATTTGCAGATATTTATTGACTATTTCGTATTTGTACCTATTTTTAAATATCACGTGTCTTGTCTTGTGTTTTGTTATCACTGCTTGGAGAGCTACTAGCCCAGTCTCATTGCTCTGTTGTGTATTATGACAGTAAAGAATTGAATCTTTAATCTTCAATTAAATTAAATTACATTCAAATAAATACAATACTATTTGTATATTGGCCATCAGAGGCACAGGTCACATGATCAACTGGATACATTAAAGCAGTCCTGTAATATAAAGCACACTTTGATTGGACAAATACTCCATAACTGGGGAAAAAGCTACTAAGTGATCATTACCAAAAACTCATCATTATCAAAAGATGTGTTAAGCAGAGTACATTCTAGCAGCAATCTTGCATGTGGCAAATAATTACAATAATTACAGGCCTCGATAGTACTTATAACTATGACACCTTTACTGTCATGTAAAAACATACAGTGTAATTCAGTGTGGTAGCTCTCATACAGAAAAGCAGTGATCTAGGTGAAAACACTCTGTGTAGCCAAGATAATTATCAAAAAGGCACAGCAGGTGGGAATATAAATAAAATCAACAAATAGTGAATAAATCATAGTGAATATCTGCAGATAAACATCAAAAGAGCAGCTTGGACTCCAACATGGGTCGCCCTTAAAGCCTCTGCCCGATGTCTGACCTTCTTCTCGTTGTCCAAGTGTAGGTAGTAGGTGGGGTAGAGACCGCGGTCCACGCCCCTCTTGTCTCGAGTCACCCTGCACTTCACTGTGACGCCCTGCTGGGCAGGCCGGAGCACAAACTCCTCCAGGTTGTCGACCTCGATGACAGGGGAAGGTACCCGTTCTTCCTGGATGTGGAACATGGAGGGTGGGTGGGATCAGTGTTTTTCTGCTGCTGTCGCCGGCATAATGAGGTGGTGGTACTGAGATGCGATGCCTGCCGTGTTTACGGTAGCTGATTGCGTTACTTAAGAAAAGGCTTAACCGGCTAGCTTTTCAGCCCTGTTATTTCAGGCTTTGAAAAAAAGATCTGAAATAGCCTTCTGAACAGTGAGAGTTCAGGTTTCGTCTTTAAACCCTTTACGTCAACATGGATGCTTCAGAAGGATTTTTTTCTGGCTCTTTTTAAGGATAGCTTACTGGAAAAAAATAGAAATGTTGTTAGTTTCCTGGATCCCGGCAGTAATTTTTAAATGCCATTATTCTCCATATTCTGTTTCAAATACCATAGTTGACATTGTCCGCATACTTAGAATGTTACCGCATGCTGATGTATTTCACGCATAGATTACGCTACCTAATTAGGTATTGTACAAATGCTCTATATTTACAAAGTGTCAGTTCTTTATATATACACAATTCCAGTCAAATCAGGTTCCTGAGATCCCTGGAAATAGGAAAAAAAAAGTTAAATCTGTGGGAAAACGAATCATAACAACAATCATAAAAATAAGGCTTGGCCCAAAGCATTTTTGACTGTGCCATTGTACTAGGTAATCAGTACAGAAGATGGATTACTGGAGAATGGATGAATGCATTCTTGCGATAATCGCAGATTAACTCAAATTTATATATTCTGGCAACATAACTCAAAAGTTTTTGAAAGTTCAAAAAGCCAATTCCCGAGCTTCGGGTCACAAAAACTAAAGTGTTTAATTGACAGGATATGGCAAATATGATCAGTACAGGGAGATAGTGACCACCAGTCGAGGAATGGAGTCACATGGACACGTAACAGAATGGCCTAGCCTCAAAAATGACCGTAGGACTAAATTGGTCTCAATGAAAACTTTACACTGTGCGTTGTCACAAGGCTAAAATTTATGGCAGATCTGCCACTACGAAACAATGTATATCCAAGCTTCAAACTCTCAATGTCTGTTGGTACGGGCAGCCGTTCTGTGTGAACCACTAGGTCCTCGTGATGTTCCCATTACAGTATGATAATACTCATAAACACGTTACTAAACGAACTCCGCTGTGGTTTCATGAACACCCGGATGACGTCAAACACCTTCCCAGGCCTCCTCAATCACTAGATTCAAGCATTAATGAGAAGTTATGAAAAGTTCCGGAGCACTGAGTTCAAAGTAGATCTCCACCTCCTTCATCCCTGGAGGGATTGGAAGCCTTTATTCGTGAATAATGCTCTAATATCTTCCCAAACACAGCTGCAGACTTGTCTGACAGCATTCCAAGAAGGACCGAGGAGTTCTGGACCTGCTCTTAAGGTCCTTAATATTAATGTATGGATAGATGTGTCTGTAGTTCTGTCCACACCTTGTATATATATATATATTTTTTAAATAGACACCCTGTAATTAACAGTTTAGGTTCAATAGAACACATGTCAAACAAGCTGGAAGGTAAAAGGAGGGATGAACCTGGCATTAAATGATTATAGGCGGTGAACAATCCTCATGGCTGCCACTGATCTAGGTGAGTGATTCCTACACACATAAGAGCCTAGAGGCATGATCTGGTGACTCCTCTCATCTACCTTTTTCCCCTTCTTTCCTTTTCCCTTCTTCTTCTTCGTGACCTCCTCCTCTTCCTCCTCTACCTCACTGTCCTCACCTTTCGAAGGCCCTGTTGGGTGAGAAAGGCTATGTACGTCCGTATGTTGGGACAAACTCAGCCACATGGGGTCACCTTTTAAGGTTTGATCAGGAGAGCCGACTGTCCTAACTACTGGCTGACCTTTCTTCTTCTTCTTCCTGTCTTTGTCTTTGTCCTTCTCCTTCTCCTTCTCCTTGTCCCCTCCTACCTGGAACAGCGAGACATCAGTCTTCTTCTTCACCTTGCTGGATTTATCATCCGGTTCACTCTGCTCACTGTCTGACTGGGGTGCTGAGGCTGAACAGGAAACAGAAAGCTTACATTAGCTCGGAGTCTTTGACAAAAATGCAGACAAAGTTTACTGTGCTAAACCAGGCTGAAGTGTATCTGTTTCAGCTGGACGCTTGCAGGCGGATGGCATGAACAGATGCTTAAAATCCCAGGTTCCCGTTTTCCATATTTACATTTCGTTAAATTAACTGAGCAAAAAACGTGACAACTTCACCGATGATCTGTGAAGTAAAAATCATCAGAAGAGCATCACCATCATCAGATATCGAGATCTTCGTACAAAGTCTGAGGTCTGGCTATTTGAGTATATTCAAGTCTGTAGCATAACAGGAGCCAAATAATTGAGAAAACTTTCAATGGCAGTAGGTTTTTCCTCTTAGGTGGCCAATGAAACATCTCCAGCAGTGGCCGTACGTTTCTCGTTCTCCTGAGAAGCAACGCTTTACCTTTCTTTTTGCCTTTGACCTCTGGCTTCTCGCCATTTATGTGAAACAGGGTGGTGGCCTCATTCTTTTTGGGCTTTGCTGATTTCGCTTTGGAGTCACACTCGCTTTTGTTCTCTGGAAAAAACAAAAGCAGAAGATGAAATGTGCAGCCGCAGAGGGAGTAGGGAATTCTGCAGATGGAGTTTTCCCTTAATGTTTTAAGATCAGAATATTACTTAAACACTCGGTATGCTTTTATTATACTGCCAGTTGTTTACAATTAAAGATGAGGTACTGTACACATACACTGGAATGTTTTCCAGATGTGGCTCAAATATCCAAAGTGGAAAAACTCTAGGAATTCTTTTTAATTTTTGCCCACTATTTCTACCCATCCATCCATCCATCCATCCATCCATCCATGGGCAGGAATATATCATTGCAAGCTACGTAAATTATACACAGTTATTCAAAGGCTAGACTAGTCTTTAGTGTGATTAGAAAATTGTAGTGACTTCAATGCAATAGTCACTCCACTTCAGAAAGAAACAAAATTAATTTATGCCTAATTCTGTTCTCATTCAGTCTCCATGGATACTATCTGTGCCTGGCATCCCATCCAGGGCTGACCCCAGCTTTGTGCCCTGTCCATCCTGGGCAGACACCACAACACCCCACAATCCTGACCTGGGTAAGTGGTTGGCATTTGGACTGATACTACCTGGAACCCGGGTCTCCCTGTTTTCTGCTCTTGAAACACATAGTACCTTCAGACCAGTACCTTTAACTGGCTTCTTCTCCTTGCCGTTGGCTGGCGTGCTCTCCTTTGTGACCTTCTTCTTGACCTTCCGAGTGGCATCGTCCTCATCTTTCTCGTCGTCGTCATCATCCTCGCTGTCTACACCTGGCCCGGGAAGAAGAGTGGGGTGTTGTAGGGGTCTGATGTGCTGGGTTTTGGGAAAGCTGTACAGCCTAAGCTCACCTACATACAATTATCCCACATCCCGTCCCAAGATCTCGAAGTGGGCAGAATCTTTGTTCAAGGAGCATAATGATTTTCTCCGCAGCACCACTACAGCCATGGCCCAGTTCCTTACAGCACCGCTACAGCCATGGCCCAGGTCCTTACAGCACCGCTACAGCCATGGCCCAGGTCCTTACAGCACCGCTACAGCCATGGCCCAGGTCCTTACAGCATATCTACAGCCATGGCCCAGTTCCTTACTTTTCTTTTTCTTGGGGGCACTTCTTGTCTTCTTTTTTGGTTCAGCTTTTTTCTCTTGCTCTTTCTTCTCCTTCTCTGCTTTCTTTTTTTTTACTTTCTTTCCATCTTTTTTGAATGGTTATGACACCAACCAACCAGGCAGACACAGAAAAAAATGAAAAATAAACACGTTAAACGATGTACGTCTTAAGACTACTTAGAAAGATCCTCTTGCATAAAAGTCCATCTGTAGTAAGGTAAATACTGTATACGAGTGTGACAGCTTTAGAAAGGACTAAAATATACATAAGTAACATACATATCGGCAGCTTCTGAAAGGACTGTAGTATAGGTAAGCACTGTATATGAATAGGAGTATGTAGCAGCTTCAGAAAGGACTAAAGTGTTGGTGAGTACTATATAGAAGTATGAATGAGTAAACCAACGAAGGGACTACACTCTGAGTGGGTGCAGTGTAATGCGTGACTGTCATCACGCAGATGCTACCTTTCATGACAGGGCTCTCTTCTTCTGAGACGTCCTCACTTTTCTTGTCCTTCTTCTTCTTGGACTTAGCATTGGTGCTGTTTGTCTGGACCAGATCCACATCCTGCTTTTTCTTCTTGGGTTTCTGATTTGGGTTTCAGGGTGAGAACGCTGCCAAAATACCAGAATAACTGCTTAAAGATCAGCTCACTCAACCTCAAAAATATCCTTTGGCAATTGTAACACTAATGGCCAGTTTGATCCAGGATCAGTTACATACATGCCATTAACCATAATACTAAGGGAGATTCAGAATGATAAGGTAGAACTTAAAAATGATAGGTTTTGCTATAAATCGTTTTAAACGTAGACTATGTTTTCTTGAGTGTTGTAAACAACTTTTAGCAGATCAATGCAGTGCTCAAATAACACCTGATTTTGCATTACTTACCAGGTAAAATATAGCCAAATGGCAAAGCAAGAAAGCAGAGAATAGAAAGCAACTGTGAGACAAAACCAAAACATATGCACCTTAAAATACGCACTAAGGCACTGTTATTATAAAACGCCCACCCGATAAATCACCTAGTACTCTGCAATCCAAACATTTCACTCTCCTAGCCTGTGACCCAGGTTAACCTTCTAGTGTCAGTAAACATGGTTCAAGGCTTGCAGCATGTGGCTCTGTGGTACAATGGACAGCGCATTGAACTTCTAGCTGTGTCACGATGGGGCGTGATTCAAAGGTTGTGGGTTTGAGTCCCACCAGAATCAAAGCTTAGCTAAATTTCTAATTGGGATCAGTAAAGTATACCTGTCTAACTTAATTTATTAACTTTATAAAGCATGATTGTTAAGATAAGGCACTTAGTGCTGTCACAGTTATAATGCATGTGAGAATGGAAGCTGGCGTACAATTCTGTGAATGCTAGGGTCCCATGGAAAATGCCTGCTACTGGGTTATAGGGAGCAAAGGTTAAATTCTCCTTGATTATTTGGTTACTTGCTAAGTTATGTAACTAAAGCTAAAAATACAACAGCAGTCAGATGTAGCACAGCCAAGTTGTTCAAATTCCCTAATTGCTTGGGTTTTGGCAACAAAAGCTCAGGAAATTCACCTACCAGCAGGGAGGGGAACACGAAAACGAGGGCACACTCTCTGGTAGTTGGGACGCTTACAGCCAGTGTAATCCTATTAACAGAGCAGCCAGCTATATATATCACAGCACTCGAAAAGCACCATCAAGAAAAGCACACAATTTCCCACTAATTCCCTGCATGGCTTCCACAGTGTTTCTGTGCTGATATACTGGCCACGTGAAACGGCAGTGGTAAATCAGTAAAATAATATCCAAAACGGGATGCCTTCAGCATACTGTTCCTGTACTGCTGCGATTTGATACATTACTGTGGCTCATTTATAGCAGAACTTGTACGGGCTTTTGCCAGGAACGCCGGAAGCTCTCACAATGTTTTCCACAATGTTAGCGTGTCATATGTTGGCATCAATGGACGCCTTCAGCACAGGTTCACAGCGGTTTGTTGAAAGCATCCAGTGCTCCCTTCCGGAAAGGCAGAGGACTAGGGCAACGTCCATCCTTCACCTCCGTCTGTCGTCCAGTCACAGTCCTCTGAACTAGGAGGCAGCATTTCTGGTTCACCGGCTCTGGCCTCTCGCCAAACTCACACAAACGATTATTTTAAAATGCTGTCCCTTTTCCTGTTTGTCTACATAATTGTAAAAAGTAATTTGATGGGAAATCAAGATCCTTGAATTTATGCAAAGACTAATGGACGTCTAGTTTTGGATCGGAAGTAGATATAGGAGTATATTTGTAGTCGAGATTCAAATTCAGTATATCCTAAAAAAAAAAACCTGTACGCATATACTAACAAATAAATGATATATAAACAGATTGTTTCAATAATTAAGATATCAGTACAAGCATTTTCTTTTACGATAAAGTATATTGGCAAAATCACCTAAATGACACAGTAGAATTATTATCATTAGTACATAGTATATACCTTTATACACGTAAAAAAATTGCTGCTGCACCTTGTTTAATAATCAAATATAGTTTCAGATTCAACAGAAGCTTTGGGACTAAATCAGGGGCAAATGGTTCAATAAAAGTGGGTCCTGGAATAAACTGAGACCTTGGAGTCTGTCACACAAATGTTTAGCTGTGAGATAAGTGCTAGTATTGTTACATATGGGTATTGCTTCCACTTGAGGCTTAATCATCGGTCTAGGTTTTATTTCACAAATAACTTGCAGATGACACTCGTAGGTCAGTAATTCCTCCTTGCAGAATTTGCGTGCAAACCGTAGACACCTCACTGTCTAAATATGCTGTCAGGCAGGTACAACGAGCCTGAACATAAATCACCTTATTCTGGCTCTAGCTGGGAGCACACAGGCTAAATACCCCCTAACTCAAGGGCTAGAGGATCAACCTTTTTACCTTCTCTGCTGACATGGTCAGTCCTGTGTCGTCTGCTCAGGGGACGGACCAGCTCTGGTCCGAGAACGCAAACACCGAATGTCAAATGAAGCGAAGTCGGCAGGTGACCATGAAGAGATGAGCTGGGAAATTGCGTGGAAAGCTCTATTTAGTGAGGCTCCGTGAGCAGAAAGGAGTGGACAATAAGAAGATTAGCGCTAAGAGCAGATCGGCCCTGGAGGAGCGTCAGTCGGTGTCATCCGGGATGGGGGGGGGGAGGGTCACTTGACTCATCGCTGCTGCAAACGGGTGGCGACTCAATTGAGGATGATGACACTGCGCCTGTCCTTCCCCCAGGACAGGCAAGCCCACAGGAAGAGGTGCACCGTGTCATTGTCACACATACATTCCCAGGACTCACCTTCAGTGGCCTCTCGGTATTCACCCTTTCATCGTTGATGCTGTATTAAAAGAGAGTTTTAATAAACAACTGTGCATCGGCTTCGGGAGCAGCCTGGCTGATCGTGCGCTCCGCGCCGGAGCCTGGTGCCACCTGCCGTATCCGCTGTCAGCGAGCAGCCCGGCGTTAAGCCTTAACGTACAATCTGCGGTTGTGTACCTGGTAGAATTTCTGCTTTGTGATCCTGATATGCCCCGCTTGCTGGTTTTCAGTTCTTAATTAATTAGGCACGCTCCCTCCCTCCATCCATCCATCTCTCCCTCCTTTCCTCCATCCATCCATGCACCCATCCGTCTTTCAATCATTTATCTAGTACAAGATTATGGGGGCAAACAGCAGAACTAAAACAGGAAACGCAAAGGCTTTATAAGCAATACTGGAACCATACTGTAAATGTCTGTTTCTGTAGGTGTTAATTTGATACGGTATTAGATCATTTGTACAATTTTTAACGATACAGATTTCTATTCATTAGCCCAAGGGCCATTTTGCGTTGGATTGTATTCATATTTATCAGTCACGATGTAGAGGCTCAGTAGGCAGTATGCTGCCTCACACCTCCGCAGCTGGGGGTTCAGCCCCACCACTGTTCTCTGTGTGAGTTTGCACCTTCTCCCCCATGTTTTGCAGTTTCCCCCCGACTGTCCAAAGGCATGGAGTTTGATTAGTTGGTGTCTTTAAACTGCCCATTTTGTGTGTGTGTGTGTGCATGCACACCCTGTAATGTCTGGCATTGTGCTCAGGGTGTACCCCTGCCTTGGATAGGTCCCAGCCCCCCCCCGACCATGACGTATTAGTTATTTAGCTGAGTTTTCAAGGGTTACAGTAATCAGTAACTAATTACACAATAGCAATTAAATGAGCAAGACCAGATATTTTGAAGCATCTGGTTTTGTGAACAGCGAATGCCGCTGACAAAAAATTCTTTAACACAATTAGAAAATGTGAACTTTCAGTCAACCTTCAGCATAGTGCGATTTAATCTTAATAGTGCGAGTCACTGAATCAACAATCAAACCTAATTCGCAGAGAATGCAGCAGGACTGAAAACCAGAATTAGCAATGGCTTGCAACAACCAGTTTAAGAAAACACTCATATACTGGGCAAAAATATAAGAAATAAGTTTGGAGTTTTGATGCTGCAGTGCTGGGATGATGCCTCTCTTGTGTATGTTGTTATACATGTGGTCAAATAAGGTACTAATATGTAGACATACCTGTCTGAGGTCCAGACCTCTTTCAGGGTGTCCTTCTGCAGCGGCATTGGGAACCAAGGCGGCCTAAACTACACGTGAAGTTCACTGGAAACAACTAGTGTAACAAGAAAAGGCAGTACGGCTGAGTGTCACCCCACTACCCCCAAAAGCCCTGCCCAAAACAAAATTGATGAGAGCCCCCCCTGAGTTACCCCCAGCCTTCCAGTTACCCCCAGCCTGCTAGTCACCCCTTAAACAGCCTCCATTTCCTGATCCTCAATACCAGATGTTATGGCATAAAGTGAGAAAACAGAGGAATAATTCCTGACCTAAACATCTCATACATGAATCCATCACATTCATTTCTATAGAAACCTATTTATACATAAAATGAAATATTTATACAGAATACTAATCAATCACAAAAATACAAATTGGTGATGTGCTAGTTATGGACCTAAACATCATGAAGGCTGTTGTACCTTTGAGGTAGGTAGTTTAGTTTTTACATAAATTTTTCACCGCAGCACAAAAGAGTAAAAACTAACTTGGGATGCAGCAATATATTTAACTATTGACAAATCAGATTGGATAACAAGGACAACTAATGAAAAGGAAGGGACTTTCAAATCTAGGTGAAAACATCTAAACATGAACGAAATGTATGAGGCGTTTTAACTGGTTCTAGCGCAGTAAGAATCACCTGTTGTTTTAGCAAATGTGCAGCCTATAAAAACCAGAATATATGAGACGGCACCGCGCACACGTACGCGGACACTTCCGAGCGCACATGCTCACCTGCACCGGGCGCGCAGAGACAGTGACCTGGTCTGTATCCCCACGGACACGAGCATACGCTCCCTGTCCTGCTCCCCTTCAAACTCCCTGTAATGCCTGTGCAACCCAGCGAACATAAGCCCTCATTCTTAATAGGATTTCCAGTACAGTAACACCCCCGGGCCCCTACTCTGCCCCCACACAGAGAGCCCCCTGTCTGGCCACCTGCAGGGTCTTGCATAAGACTCAAGCAGGGCCTGACAAGGTCCTGAGGCGCAAAATCGCTATGAATCAGCCAGGGTTTATTTAATCTTATATCTATCACAATAATTTGTCTGGTGGCTTGCCTAAGTGTATAATATGATGCCAATCACTGAGCCTGACTGTGTGCATTCTCCTGGTTGGTTCCCTTGTCCAATGAGAAATGCGAAAAAATAGACTTACCTTACGCCACAAGTAAGTGTAGCTAATTTTTTTTCGTTCACAATACTTCCGCAGCCGATGAATTGTACACATTTAAAGGGAATTACACGTACGGCAACAGCACCCATCTCTCCGGTGGCCACTAGGTGGCGCTCCAAACCACGCTTACCGATGGAAGGCACCAGAAACTCACTATTCGTATATTTTTACAAATGCACCAAATTACTTAGTCAAAACTTTTTATGAACGCATATTTGCGGGCACTTATATAGCAACACGCAACTTCTATCCCATGTGACTTTGAAACCTTTGCGAACACAGTTATAATTATAGAAATACCATAGGCCTATGTGTGATATCGACATAACGGGGAATTTCCCATGAACGCTAATTCTGGAGATGCAAAGCAAAATAATAGATGTAACTTTATCCCAAAAGGCTGAACAGGACAAACTCTGTGCGTTGTCATTTTCACAATAAGCAAATGGATCACTCTGGGAAAGCGGCAACAGTTTCATTTTTATTACTAGGGCAAATGTGATGAGTTCCCGGATTTGCCGAATCTGAAGGTTGCAGCGTATAAAACACGTTAAATGACTGTCGGAATGAGAATAAACAGAAGCAGATACATATGGTAAAGGCCGCGCCGGACAGCTTAATTAAACCGGATCGTGACATGCCACGGCCCACGTGCAAAGCATCATGGGAGCTGCAAATATCAGAGAGGAGGACACCTTTACGCGTATCGTCTTATTGCTAATACCACTATATCGCTAATACCGCAATACCTGACGCCTCTGAACAAACCCCTCTCATATTAAAAATGTTCTTTTTTTATTCCAAATGAATTAGAAATATTTTAAGATGATTCGTTCCATATATTATAAAATTATTATAATTTATTATTACCAAAACTGAATGCATGCACGTGTTAAGCATATAACCTATTTAAGAAACTTAGAAGAACATTTTAACGTAAGTACATGTTAGTAAGTTTATGGTCACATAAAAATAAACAATACACAAACAAAACTACTAACTGAGACTACTCAGACTGCTGAGCCTGACCATTCTGTCAGGAAGGCCTTAAATCGTTTTTATTGTAACAGGTTGTTGGGGGTGAGCAGAGATGAGTTCAAAATGCTCAGATTCTCTTGTGCAAAACAGACTCGAAACATGAGAAGAACGTGAGACAAATATTGAGCAGCTTTATGATGATAAACTGCCAGTTATATGTATTTCCTAAGGTTTTCGTTTGCTTTGTCTTTATGAAAAGTGAAACTAAAAAATGCACTCAATTAATTCCATTTTAAATAATAATAATTATTATTATTTTTGCAAATAGGCCTGTTAGATTTGCTCTTCTGTATGTTTTTTCTGAACAAAAGGCAGGCAGCTTCCCCTTGGCAGTAAAATGAGCAGGAAGCCATTAGCAGAGTTAATTGAAATGGTCCATTTGGTTAGTTTACAAACAAGTATATTTATTTAGCAGGTACTTTTGCCCAAAGAAACTCCATTATTGCAGCTGGGGCCAAGGGCCTTTACTCAGGGGCTCAACAGAGATACCATTACTCTGCTGGCTACAGGACCCAAGCCCTTGACCTTGCAGACCATGGTAGTCACCTTTAACCTGCTGAGCTGCACAGAATCCAGCCGCTCTCTTTGCTGAAGGCTCCTCGCAGTGCCTCAGCAAACACTCGCACATCGCGGGTGGCAAAGCCTCATCCCTCTTCCTTCTTGTTTCCCTCATCACTGACAGGTAACGTACAGGCACATGTATAAATACGCTGCCATTACAATGTTGTTTTTTTCAGTGTTCAGCAGGAGCAGCTGAGAGTTTGGCTTGTGAAGGAGAAGGCTTCCCTACGGAGACCCTGTTTGGCATTCAGGAGGGCCAGTGATTAACTGGCGATTGAGACAATCACATCTGCTCATTATTCCTTATTGATTCACTTGACAGATGCACTTAACGAGAACAAGTATGAGGATTGACATCGTATAACATTACTAATTGGGTTTCGCCCAAGAGGGCACTTAGAGTTTTCAATTATGCAGGCATGCGTCAACCTGACGGAAGCAGAGTAGAGTTTGTCTTCCAAGTTTTGCAGTTTTACACAATGTATGACAAAATTATAATAACAATGTGCCTGACAGGCTTTGATGAGTGCTCTAACTGTGGCAGGTTTCCACGGCGACATCACCGGTGACATCACAATGATTCATTTACTACGGGTTTATTCTGGGCAAAAGCCCCTTCCCTCACTTCATAAGTTTGCCCTGCTGTCATATATGCCGGGAATCCAGGTGCGGTAAAATATATAAATGAGCATGTGGCGGAGCACTTCCACCTTGATGCGGATATTCACCCTAGGAGAGAATGACGCTGGCTTTGCCACTCGTCTGTGAAAAGCAGCACTTTTCAGTGCTGAGAATGAGCAGTGCACTCCAGCATCCTGTTCCGCAGATTAGGATGCTGTGCGTGTCACCGGAAGGTTGCTGGTTCAAATCCCAGAGTTGGCAGGGCTTTGGGACCTTGAGCAAGACCCTTAACTTCTGATTGTTCCTGGCACTACCTGACCCTGCTTCCTTAATATATTTTATATATTTTTTAAGTAAAACATTACCAAAAAATTTTTTCACAGGGTTTGTGTTCTTATTTTTCAACAGATTGGCTAACAGCCAGTGCTTGAGTTAATTTGAGTTTCTTAATAATGCTTCTAAAATGAATTGTCTTCTTAGTAGTATAATGCTGAATTGATCTGGTTAGTTTGTCTGCCTCAGAGAGTAATATCAATTAATTTACGTACAGCTTAATTGAGAATGAAATCAATGATTTGGTTACATAATTGTTTTAGGGGATTTAAGATGCAATCTACATAGGTAAATAATTAATCAGAACGAGAAGCGTATTACTTTATGCATCGAGAAAATTAAAGGATACCTTTTGACTTTTTGCAAACCCATGGACAAAAACATGAAAAGGAATCCAGAAGTGTAAAGCCCATGAGGAGTCTGTAAAAATGAAACCAATAGCAATCAGCTAAAATGAAAAGAAACAAACATGATTCTGAGTGACTGAGGCTGGGAGACGGAGGGAGGACTGCAGTCAACAGTTCAGTGTCCTCAGGAAGAAATGCTGACATTCCCACAAGCTGTAGTTATGGCTTTGATGACGTTCTCAGCCGTCGTATCTCCGTGGCCGCTGTCTAATGGCGGGTCTGCGTAGAGGCGCCACGGTAAACATTTACAGCCACAAATTCCCCGCAGTGCCAGAGCCGCTGAAGCACACAAGCGCTTAGAGCAGCCCACTTACCCCCCACCTGCAGGAGGGTGGCTGATCAATCACGGTGGCCGATTAAACCATCGTGAGGTCACGTGACTCTCAGCGTCACTCGTCAGACAGACTCAAGCCAGCCACTCAAGGTCCAGCCGACCAATCACCGTATGGGCAGCGTGCAGCCACTTGAAACGTTTTCTGATAAAAAAAAGTGAAAAACGACTATTACTACAAATCATTATTACTGTGCACCGGTTCGCTGTCCGCAGATAAGTAGACACTGTCTGTAGTGTGCTGCATAGAATGTGCAGTACATTGTTAGCCGCAAGAGCAGGGCTATGAATGGGCTGTAGCCCAGGGTACTGAGTTGTAGGGGAGTTGTAGTTCTTTCTGGTTTTTACAGCAGTGTTTTACATGGTAGGTAGGGCCCCAACCAGGACTTGGCCTGAGTACCGATAATGGAAAGCACTACAATTATGGTGCATTTTCATTTACTTGTGGTTGGTTATTTGTAGCCCACGATGTTTGCTAAGCTGCTCTCCACTCTGCCTAAAGGCTTCAAAGAATCCCTCGATTTTAGTTGCCCCTCCAGTCTGTCCGCCACCGATTCTGTCTCCTGTGCAGCCCTGTGTAGCCCTGTGCAGGCCTGTGCAACCCTGTGCAGGCCTGTGCAGCCCTGTGCAGGCCTGTGCAGCCCTGTGCAGGCCTGTGCAGCCCTGTGCAGGCCTGTGCAGCCCTGTGCAGGCCCGGGGATCAGGAGTATTCAAAGCCAGCATGACCGTTTTACCACATGCCTGAAGCCGAGTCACACGCCTGGTGGTCGGGAAAGGTGTTAAAGTGAAAGAAGTAGCTCTGCAACTGCACGGCACAACTGCAGAACTCAAACCGCAGGGGTATTTTAAGCCTGTATGCGTTAAAGGTGTGTGTTATGTTAGCAGGCTGAGCATTGGTTCACTAAGACTGGTAGCATTTGAACCCCCAGTGAAGTTAACTGGCTTATTCACGTATTTAGTCATTGAATTTATTACGTTTGATTTCATGCTTTATGGTTGTACGGGCACCACTGATCTGGTCATGGAGGAATATGATGAATAGATATTCAGTGGAGGGGAAAAAAGTGGAAATGAGACAAAGGGGAGAGGTATACGAGTGTGCATGTTTATTTTTTTATGCAGTGGAGCTCTGTAATCAACGGGGCGAGCGACAGAGACGGGCATGGGCTGGGAAATCCCAAGTGTCCCTGTGGTAAGAGTCCTGACAGGGAGTTAGCGGAGACCTCGGATGAACTCGGGCGTGAGCAGCGAGAGGGCTTACTGAGTGAGGGGGGGCGGGCCTAAGCATACAGGAATCTGTGTCATGAGAGAATGGATTGCATTCCCCCCCCCCCAGCCTGCTTCTCTCTTGGGAATGTGCACTTATTTGGCCCTGCATGTGGCGGACAAGGCCTGACCTACATTCCCGCCCCACCCCCTTCCGGGGCTCTGCCTGAGCGACAGTGCCGTGGTGGCCCAGAGATGCCGTGGGCAGAGACCTGGAGGTGGACGTCAAACCTCCCCCCCACCACCCCCCGTTCCCCTTGGACTCACGCGTGGAGGCGGGGCACCTCTTCTCCCGACGGGCACGGTTTGCTTACGAAAGAGGCGGGCGTTCTCTTGAACCACAGCCAGGAGAGGCTGGCCCTGCCGGTGGCAGACCTCTGCTCGTGAGCAGGAAGAGACGCAGCAAGAGCGATCTGTAAAGAACTCGCAGCTATTTTTTCTTAGCCTGACCCCCCCCCCCCTGCCCGCCACACACACACACACACACACACACACACACACACACACACTCACGCTGAGGCAAACCCTCTCTTCTCCTCTCCCCTCCTCTCTGTGCTCTCATTTAGTTAAAACCTCCCAGTCAGGCAGTATAAAAGCCACCCCAGTGTCCTCGCTGTTGATGTTGTTGTTATTGCCGTGGTTGTTATGGTTGTCGCTTGTCTTTTTTCTGGACAAGGGGAAGGGGAGGCGATGGTGAGGAGTGAAGACGGCAGCCCTGGGGAGGAGGGGGGGGGCTTCGGTGGAGATAAATAAATTAATAAGTAACAAAAGAGGAATGACGTTGGAGGAGGGCTGTCCTGAATGATGCCTGTGGGAAGAGATACGGCGACTGGAACAGTGAAGCGCAGACCTTGTGCTTGAGACAGGGGTGTCCTGGAGCTGCAGCCTGTCTGGGGGTGTGTCGCAGAGCAGCGGGAAGTTTGGGGGGGGGGGGAACAATTTGGCATGGATGCTGGATTACTTTGGGCATTTTTCTTTTCTTGACGAGGAGGACCTCTGTCTCTCTGTTTCTCTATTTCTCCTTTTTATAAATCGGCTGGTGACTATTTTGGAAGTTGAACCTCTCTTTTCCGCACATTGAAATGCAGTCCACACAGGAGTCGGCATTTTTATTTTTCTTTATTCTTGATGAATGACTAACATAGTCGTGAGTTCATGATCATGTGATTCAGTGTTTGGTGGGATTTTGGAGTGCGCGGGGGGGGGTGATGCTGGTGATGGGAATGCCTCCGTGTTTTTCGTTTAGTTATTGTGGTGGACTTTCTTCCCTTCTTTTTCTGTTTTTGGCACCGTCTGTCTGGCAGAGGGCAGCTTTGGCTGGGCACGGCGGCGAGAAGAACGTTGCACCACAACGGACCCAAACAAAAAACGCAAATGGGGAGAGAGTGGAGCCACGATCGGGGACAGAGGACCCGGGACGACAGCCAGCCCCTGACAAAAGCCGTAACCGCACACTTTTCGAGAGACACTGCCCTTGGCGCCCAGAACCTCCCCAAGAGGCATCAGGAACTACAAACGGCCTCACGGTGACCAAATTGGTGGCAGGACCCCCCCGGCACTAGTCACGTAAGTGTTGCATGTTTTCGTTTCTTTTACCGCCTCAGTTTTTGGTGGTTGCCGGACGATCTGTTAGTGTCTAAACATTTTATTTTTTTCTGGCAGGGGGAGAGAGGGTTGTTTTTCATCCTAGGGCATTCTAATTAAGCATAGAGGTAGTTGTGGCGTTTTTTTTCGAGTCCCTTCCATAATTAATATAAGACTAACCCCCGCCTCCCCCCGCCCCACAGAGACAGTTCTCGTCGTCACGCCCGCCTACCGAACCCAGGTCGTGGGTGCCACCCCGCGCCCCGTAAGTCCCGGCCCCAGCCCACTGCTCGTCTTTGCCTCCTTCTCTTCCTCTCCTTTCGTCCCTGCGCTCTCTCCCACTTGGCAGGCAAGCCAAAGTGGGCAGGGAGAGAAAAGGAGGCAGAGTAGCTCTCACAAGGTAAAGCACGGGGCGTCTGTGCAGGCTGCCTCTCTCGCCTCCGCCCGGGGCCCCCCGCCAGCATGTCCGCGCTCTCCGGCTCCGCGCCCGCTGTCCCGCCCGTCGCCGCAGCCCGCCGACACCCTCAGGTACTCCTGACTCTCCGTAGCACCCGTATGACCTCCCCCCCTCGGTCATCTTTCTCCTTTGTCTGGGATCCTCTCCGGCTCCTTCCCCCACCACGCCGCGGCCGCACCGCCGCGCCGCCATTACCGTCCGGGGAGGGCAACGCGCTTTTCCGAGACGCGGAAAAGAAGCTCGAATCCCGACCCCTTCTGCTGAACTGCTCGTTTATCGAGGTTCCCGAATTAGTTCCCCTTCATTTTTAATATTACGGGATCTTCAGAAAAAAAGTGACCGACCGAGTGGGGTGTGGCTGGGGGGGGGGGGGGGGCTTCCTGGGATATCAAAGACAGACGGAGTTACGACCGGAGTACATGGATGCGAAGAGGGCGAGCGGGGGACGTGAATTCCGAATCAAATTCCGTAGGTGTCACACAACTTTATTAATAATGAATAACAATAATAATAGTAAATAATAAACAAAAGCCTTGCTCTGGGTGCAGTTAGAGAGCGCTGTCGTCCGTTAGCTTCTGGCCCGTGTGAGGGACTCGCTGAGGTCCATGACGACGGGCACCTGAGGCCCAGACCTTAACGAAATAACATCTACGGCTCCAATTCAAACTTTAACGGCTCCACGTTCTGTAAGTGATACCTTCCCTTTTCTTAACCCATCGCTGTTTCACTTGTCCTCAAAATGTTATCGTGAGGACAAACCGGTACCTTAAAAGGCGTATTTAGAGGAGATCTGTAAACAGGACACTGCTTTGCTGCACACTTAACATCGGCCCTGATACATTTTTGCTGTCGACCACTTTTTAAACAATCGCCGTATTTTTGTTTTAATATTGCACCAGCATGCACTGTCATTTATTAACAATTTAGATATGTCACGTATGAAAGTAAAATGTGAATATATCGCAAACAAGCCCAGCGGCTGCTTACTAAGACGTCTTACTAACTAAACATGTGTTTTTCTAAAAGCATTTTAGATGCCAAGATTTATATCTAGCCAAGGCAGTTATGACCATAATTGTACCAGAGTATAAACACCCTTGTATAATTTCTGTTTTTGTCCAATGGTTACAGTATATTAAGTATATTGTATATCGTATTGTCAATCAGATAGAAAACAGCAAGATTTGTCAGAAAAAGGTTTAAGGTTTACAAGTTGGATTGCATTAATTTCATATATTTCATTATAACCCAGTTCCGATTTGTTAAATGTATACTACGTTTTATTATTCTTATGTTATTCGGTATATTACAATATTATTTCCAGTGCAAACCACCTTGATTGTTCTGAGAATTAGGGTTATATGTTTAATGTTTTTTTTTAAATGTTATTTTCCGAAAAACTGGCTCTTTGGACTGACGTGGGGCGGGCCTCCATCGATGCCCTTTGCTGGTGACGCAGTCTCTGTGCAGGATTGTCATTCCCCAAGCCCATGGACCACTGCTTTTGCGGCGGTCATGTGACTACGACCGAGACCACGTTCAGGCCAATAGTGACGAGGCGCGTACTGTCCCAAAAGTCCAACTGTGGACGTTTACGTTTTATAATCAGGGGGGGCACAGAGGTGTGTTGGGTGTTAAAATTGTCACGTTCCAAACAACACAGCCGGAAGAAAACGGCAGCTTGTCATTTTACTCGTTTACTTGCTTTTTCCCATTATTCTACATGCACATCATTCCAAAAAAATACAATTTCTATAGATAAGGAAAGTTATTTACCGACAATTACTTTAATAAATTATGAGGGGCATTAACTGTTTCTCTCTTTTTTTTTTTACGTTATTTGTTCACACCAGCACAGTTAATTAATTATTTAATGTTTCCAATCCAGTTTAGCAGCCCCTGCAGTGCTTCAGGACGTCAACAACGGGGCACATTTCACTGTACAGTATACGTGTTTGGCAGGAGGGAGGGAGGGAGGGAGGGAGGGGGCGGAGGTGGGGGAGGGGAGAGGGAATACGTACTTCCTCCTCCCCCCCCCCAGTTCTCCTCAGATGAACTCGCCATGCTGGCCAAGGTTTTCTCTCTCTCTCTCTCTCTCTCTCGATAGTCGGCCTCGACCGCTTCCCGCTATCACGCTGTGCCCTTGCTTTGCGCCACTGGGCCGTCATGTTTCAGGCTGTTTACTGAGCCGAGGCAGACTTTACGCCTGCTCTGCGCCCCTCCCATCCCCCCCCTGCCCAGCAGGCCGTCCGTGCAGAGTGCAGCGCGGCCTATTTTTTTTTTTATTTGTCCGCCAAAAAAAGGGGAAGTGCGACCGGCACGGCCGAGTCTGCAGTTTGCAGAATCCATCAGATAAAGCGAAACCACAAATTACCGCTCTTCATTTTCACACTGGGTACCTGCCACATAGTGCCCGATAAAGGTGCCCAATGAACCAAACATTTTTGTTAATCATTACTGGAGTTATCTTTTAGATTTTGCACTGTCCAGTTTGGTTCTATGAAGGGGAATTAGCTCGGGTTGCTTAGAAATGTACCTACTGCATTCTATGCCATTATGTTTCTGCACGAATCAGGCAGGATTTTTTGTTCACTTTTCTCAACGAAATTCAGCACAGTGTGTTTAAGGTTCCTTCTTTGCACAATCAGACACACCACAGCAAAATTCACATTCACGAATTTCATATCACGTTAAAATGTCATGTTAACAAACGCTATGGAGAATAAACTTGATTTGATCTCCCTATTAGGAATACAGGAAATCCATTGCAAAAATCGTGACAGTTACTATCATGCATGCAACACGATTTATGGCTTTTCAAAGAAAACAGTAAGATAATCCAGAAAAGGCTTCATGTGTGAAATAACTCTTCCGTTTCTGTTTGGTCGTAACTGGGTTGGACCATCAGGGACATGAAACTGACCCCCCCAGAAGCTACAGGAAGTCTAATAAGGTTACAGGGCATCTAACTTCCTTTTCCAACATTATTTTTGCCAACAAGGCCTTGCTTACTTGTAAACAAACATTTGTAACTATATATAAGCAAAGTGCACATATCATGCATTTACTTTCCAACACAAAATGTGATATTGCTTTTTAATTCTTTTTAAAGTTCATTGCCTTCGCACTAAATGATTATTGGCTATATTAACAGGCTCCACCAAGATTAGAAAAACACAAAATAACCAACATTCATTAAAAATTAACACTGATCTTGGTAACACTTTACTTGAGGGGGTACAAGTAATGTAATATAATGCTATTATGTATATATTAATTAACTACAAACTAAGTCTTAGTTACAAACTGATCTCATGTTCGTTCATCATTAATGAGTTGTGACATCTTTTATCTCAAGCAATTGCTATATTTGTTACTATATCTGTTAATTCTGTAAACCTCTGTGAACTAAAGAAGGAACAAGTAATGAATAACACAAGTAAAATACTGATCTCATGTTTGTTCATCATTAATGAATCATGAGACATCTTTTATCTCAAGCAGTTACTATATTTGTTACTATATCTGTTAATTCTGTAAACCTCTGTGAACTAAAGAAGGAACAAGTGGTGAATAACACAACAGAAATGCACTGGGTCAGACTGGATCTTTTTAGTACCATGTAAAACCACAGGATGACATCACCCCTTTGATTCGTGCTATGGGGTTTGCTTAAATGTTTCAAAGTAACTCTTGATACAAGCATGTTTATAATTATAATGCGCTGTAACTGCAGGGAAAGAATATCAAGTAATAGTGATAGCTAAATAATTTTTGCTTATGTTTAAGTATGCATAGTAGCGTTTCTTTTTTTTTTTTTACTTTACATTGCAATCAAATATAATTATCAAAATGGCTATATTTGGTTTAGGACTAGAGTGATGTTTTATTTTTCTACCCAGAATATTAAATGAAGCAAGTGCCATAGTGTTCAAATGTTTATTTTTAAATGAATCGTCATGGTTAAATTTAGCCAGCTAGGTATGCAAATTGTATGTGGTAGAGCTAGAGACTTTTGGAAAGTTGTGCTCTGACTAGTGGAAGCTTGCACTTGCATTAGCTGAAGGTGCACTAAATGTGTTCAGGTTTCTTAAAAAGAAAATCATTTGACTCTAAGCTGTATCCAAAGCATTTAAACTTTATTTGAACTGTAAAAAACAACCAATTCACAGAAATTGTAATATATATATATATATATAAATTCCCAAATGTCATTCAGGTTGGCCACAATAAGAATGTTCTCTAGCTTTATTCATCGGAAATGGCGGGATGCACCTCCTGCATATTTATTGCATACAAATCAGTATTTGTGGCAAAGTCTACAAAGGTTACCCTAAGAAACAGCATTACAGCATAAGAATAGCTCCATTGTACGTTCGTCACCAGTGTCATGTGACCAAGCGTGCCATAGACTGACAGGATGAGCAGCCAATCACAGAGAAACACTCCCTCGAAAGAAGGCAGATGCACCGGTCATGCATGCAGTCACCAATCAGCACAATATACTCCTTGTGACAGGTCTGGC